AAGTGGATCTGCAGGGATTAAGTGGACCTATCTGGGACGCCGATAGGGATTAAGTGGACCCATCAGGACGCTGATGGGGTATATAGGTGACCTACTTGGGACGCCAGTAGGGTATTTTGTGAAATCCTTTGAATTATGTATTGCCGTTAAAAGTGTTATAAGCATTTCAATTACTCGGATTATACTTAATTATGCATTTATTGAAAGTAAAACTGTTGATGCATTTCTGTTAATAGAGCTCATTTTGGAAAATATTGATATCTTTCAATCATGATTATTTTTAGGATTATAATGATCACTTACTGAGTAGCCAAACTCATCAAACTATGGTAAACATTTTTTTCAGGATAACTGCGGATTCATTTTGAGTGATAGTCAAGATCAACCTTGGAAGATACTGTTGTTGTACTAGCTTTCTTTATTTACTTTGTAAGACCTCGCCACTGTAAATTTGTCCTATCAATAGATGTATATATGTTTTGTCTGTCACATCTCAGGAATAACAGTACTGTAAATTCTTGGGGTGGGACAGCCGCATAGAAACCAAATCCTTTGTAAAATACCAGTACTTGGGAGGATATGCATGTAAATACTCTAAATTTAAAAACTCATCTTGATGGGTCATTCGACGGGTTATTTGAAATTTGATCAAAAGCATGATGGAGTATATGAAATTAGACCAAAAAAATATGGGGAACATGTAAAATAGTTCATATGTGAGATGTGGTTTGATCAATTCCCCTTGTAGTTTGACATGGTGATGCATTTGTGTCACTTTTTTTTTTTTGTTTGTTCATTGGTGATGCAGTTGTTGTCCCTGCTACTGGATTGATTCACTTGCACCATAAAAACATTTATAACAGAGTTCTATTTGGTATTTATTTAGAATAGACTTTTTTTTTAATTTGCTAATATCTTCCAATAATCGCCTTTTACTTTATTCAACATAAGTTTATCTTTTTCTGTAGAAGTTTTTTTTCCACCCCCATATGAGCATACTATCTATTTAGTATCTCAAGTAAAATCTACTTTAGAATTATTTTATAATTTTAATTTTTGGGGATGTAATCTCTCCAGCTTGACGACTAATCTCAAGAAAGAAAATTTCAAAATCATATGTAGGTCCCTAAATATATAATATTAAAATATTGAATAGAGACATCTAGTTTTCGGGGGATGAGATCCAAGTATTGAAAATTAAAAATCCAAATTATCTTTTAAAAATAATCATCTAGTGATCTTTTAAGTGTAGCCCAATATTTTAATTAGAAAACATATATATAAGTATTTCACATGAGAGTTGGTATACAATATGCTCATACAAAAATATAACATACTCACTCCTATAGTAGATTTATAAGATGTATTGTTAGCAACCCAAGCTCTCTACATGCAGCTATCCGCCTTCATTTCAAATGCTTATCCACAGTCTCCCTCGGGAGTATGTTGGCCATTTACTCCCTCGGGTAAAATCCCACCTAACATTAATTTAAGGACCCCAAATTTTGGGACAAAACCGCAATTTAGCACATATATTAGCCTCAACAAGAAAATAAAATAAAATCCTAATTGGGTTCTCTAAGTACTTGAAAAAGAAAAAGTCTCGAGATTGAATAGAAACTGTCAAATTTTTAGAGGGTGAGATTTAAGTGGTAGAAAGCTTAAATTTCAAAAGTTTTCCTTTGAGAATAATGATATGGTAATTCTTAGGTGGTTTCTTGAAAAATCCTTCTAGGTGTTTTGACCGAGAGAGTATAAATAACTATGCTCTTGAAGGAGTATAATTTACGTGCTCTAGAGATAATTCCATAGATTCCTAATTTTCTTTGACAAAAAAGAAAAACTTTTAATAGCGAGTCCTACTCTTATCTTACGAGATAAACCAGTTCTTTCCCTCCCCAAAATATGTTCTACTTTGCCAAAAAAACTCTATCTTCCCTAGTAGAAACGAGGCATTTGATCCTGAATGCAGGTTTAGGGTTTTGTAAAGGATCAATAATATGGTCCACTTCGGGGCCTATTTAAGAGAGAGAATGAGAGAGGAAGCCGTATGATGAGGATTTGAAGCACAACACCTACAGGGTCTCTGTTAGAAAATTGGAAGCTGAAAGTCCCACGAAGCTGAGAATTCTTGACTAATAGATGGATTATTTGATGTCTAGAACTGGCAAATGATGCGTTCGATAACATGTCTAGAAGTTCTCAAAAACTAGGGAATCCGTGTTTGATAGAAACTAGAATTTTAAGAATCTAAAGATTAAAAAATAGTTTAGCTGTTAATTGATGTTATCACCAATGAGAGGGTGATGTTTGTTAAATGAATGAGATTTCAATATTATAGTCATCTACTATATGTCTAAGACATTGGGTGGTCTAAAGCACATAAAAAGAAAAAATAATGTG